ATATTTTAATTATAAAAACTAATTTAAAACAATAAAGCTCTTTTTTATTTTTCTTTTTAATGTGCTTGCTTTTTTTTGATCTTTCTTTGTTAATTTAACTCATCATTTTATTTTCTATTTTTACTTTTATTATTAATTAATCTATCTTATTATTTCATATTTATTCTTCATTTTTCCTTCTAATTAACTATTTAATCATACATTTTTTCTTCAATATTTAAAAAGTTGTAATGAAATAGGTGCAAAGGGTGCATCAGGCTTAGGTTCTGGTTTAGGAAAATGCATTAATCTCTCAAATTTGACACTTAACCTTGGGTAAAAACAGTTTATTTGTTTTGGATTATGATTTTTTAATTATAAAAACTAATTTAAAACAATAAAGCTCTTTTTTATTTTTGTTTTTATTGTGCTTGCTTTTTTTTGTTCTTTCTTTGTTAATTTAACTAATCATTTTATTTTCTATTTTTACTTTTATTATTAATTAATCTATCTTATTATTTCATACTTATTCTTCATTTTTCCTTCTAATTAACTATTTAATCATATATTTTTTCTTCAATATTTAAAAAGTGGTAATTAAATTGGTGACGAAGGTGCATCAGGCTTAGGTTCTGGTTTAGGAAAGTGCATTAATCTCTCAAATTTGACACTTGGCCTTTAGTAAAAACAGTTTATTTGTTTTGGATTGTGATATTTTAATTATAAAAACTAATTTAAAACAATAAAGCTCTTTTTTATTTTTGTTTTTATTGTGCTTGCTTTTTTTTGTTCTTTCTTTGTTAATTTAACTCATTCATCAATTTATTTTCAAATTTTACTTTTATTATTAATTAATTAATCTTATTATTTCATATTTATTTTTTATTTTTCCTTCTAATTAACTTATTAATGATATATTTTTTCTTCAATATTTAAAAAGTGCTAATTAAATTGGTGACGAAGGTGCATCAGGCTTAGATTATGGTTTAGGAAAGTGCATTAATCTCTCAAATTTGACACTTGACCTTTAGTAAAAACAGTTTATTTGTTTTGGATTGTGATATTTTAATTATAAAAACTAATTTAAAACAATAAAGCTCTTTTTTATTTTTCTTTTTATTGTGCTTGCTTTTTTTTTGTTCTTTCTTTGTTAATTTAACTCATCATTTTATTTTCTATTTTTGCTTTTATTATTAATTAATCTATCTTATTATTTCACTTTTATTCTTCATTTTTCCTTCTAATTAACTATTTAATCATACATTTTTTCTTCAATATTTAAAAAGTTCTAATAAAATTGGTACAAAGGGTGCATCAGGCTTAGGTTCTGGTTTAGGAAATTGGATTAATCTCTCAAATTTGACACTAAAACTTACGTAAAAACAGTTTATTTGTTTTGGATTGTGATTTTTTAATTATAAAAACTAATTTAAAACAATAAAGCTCTTTTTTATTTTTGTTTTTATTGTGCTTGCTTTTTTTTTGTTCTTTCTTTGTTAATTTAACTCATTCATCATTTTATTTTCAAATTTTACTTTTATTATTAATTTAAAAAAAATCTTATTATTTCATATTTATTTTTTAATTTTTCCTTCTAATTAACTATTTAATCATATTTTTTTCTTCAATATTTAAAAAGTGGGAATAAAATTGGTGAAGAAGGTGCATCAGGCTTAGGTTCTGGTTTAGCAAAGTGCATTAATCTCTCAAATTTGACACTAAAACTTACGTAAAAACAGTTTATTTGTTTTGGATTGTGATATTTTAATTATAAAAACTAATTTAAAACAATTTGCTCTTTGAATTTATTTGATAGCTTTTATTTGATTTATTTTTTATATTTTTATTCCACTAATTTTATTAAAAGTTTATTCTATTTGATATTTATTTAAAATTTACACAAATTTATTATAAAATATTTAGCTAAATGAATTAATCATAAAAATTCAAAATAATAAGCAAGTGCCTTAAATCAAAAAGATTAGTTGCCATTCAAAAAACATTTTTCTGATAATCAAGCGGCTAAAAAATTATTAATAAAAATTAATTGTTTGAATAATTAAAATTATATATTTTATTATTTTATATTTTGAAAAAGTTTTTTAACCTAAAATAAAAATAGGATGATTGATTATTTCTATAAAATTAGAATTTTTTCAAATATGGCTAACTGGCCATCTTTAATTCTTACAATATATATTTTTAAGTATATGTTTTAAATACAATTTTAAATTAATTTTTATGTGATATTTCTGATATTTAATAATTAATTATTATATTTTATTTGTACTTTTTATTAATTAATAATTAATTAAATTCCATAAATTGCTATTCAATATTTTTGAGAAAAAAAATAAATGATGTAATAGATTAAAAAATATAATAGATTAGAAGAAGTAATTATTAATTTTTTTATTAATATCCTTTAAATTTAAATAAATTAATAAAAAAAGTTTTTAAGCTCTTCACTTTTATCTCATTAGGTTCTCCATATTGATCTCAAGTATATTTTATTTATAAATATTATTTTTATTATTATTAATATTTTTTATATATTTAACTTTCTATTTATTTTAATAAATAATTTTTGTTTTAGAAATTATCATCATTATTCATTGATTTTTATTAAAACAAAATTTTTTTAGCTCTATTAACTAAATTTTAATTCAACTTTTAATTATTTATTATTCATTTTTTATAATTTGATATTTTTTCTTCATTTTTGCTATTAAAACTTACACTTAATAAAAGCAGTTTATTAGTTTTGAATTCTAATATTTTTAATTATAAAAGTTAATTTAAAACATTAAATCTCTTTCAATTTATTTGATTTATTTTCCTTTTTCTTTTTATTGTGATTTCTTTTTTTTTTCATTCT